AGTACACCCTATTTTCTCAACAGCAGGAGACCTGCATATAGTACGCTACCACCTTCTCTGGCAAGCTGCTCGCCACTGGGAGCTGTTGAATACTGCATTTCTGATCACTGTTCCTAAGGACAAGGAGAAGGATTTTCTACCCCACTTCTGCTGGAAATACTCATTTCTAGACCCTTTTATGGGAAGTAATCTGGATGGACGTATCTAGTTTTTAAAAATTAAATGAACACTGATTTGAGCATAATGATTCTACATTCATGCCTCTGTCTTTGTAGGAGGTAAAAACTGGTGTAGGATTTTCAAAAATAGGAATTTATTCCAGCATTGTCTGTCATGGAAATGCAAGAAATTAGCAGAAAATTCATAGGTAAGCACCAGTTTAAGTATCTTTCGGTATATCTATACCAAGAAATACTATACAGCCTTTAAAAGAGAAGACAACTTTGAATATATTGGCTGTGAAAAGCAACTATTGTGTGTAAAAGAGAACAAAAATATTCCTAGTGTGGTCCAAGTTTTATAAAAACACTGACAAATTCAGCCAGTGATATGAATATCTGGACCTACTCAGCATGCACCCAGTGTGCTAAGTCAGATTGTAGATGTGAGCTTTCTAGCCCTAACGCAGGAAAGCAGAGCCAGGGAAGGCAAAGACCAAAGAGAGATTCGTTTGGGTGTAAAGCGCATGTGAAACGTGTGTGATTATTCAACTTAGGAAAAAACCCCAGAGGGCCAAATCAAAGTCAGCACGTCTCTGAGCAACAGCCCTGGCTTGTGTTGGAGCGGATGCTGGTTTTGCGTTTGTGTCAGCTCTGAGCATCCCACACTGTCACAGGAAGAATGTGAGAGGAGGTGAAGGTGTGGTGGCCGTGAGAGAGCTCCGAATGGGCAGTATGAGGTCACCTGTTGCCTCTCACTTGCATTCCAGAGACGTGGTACCAGGTTAATAACCAAAAATTCACCCGCCATGCCCCCAACACCCGTTCCCTTCTTTTATTTATGCTGCAGTTTCTTGGCAAAGTCATCCTGATAGGGGCTGAGAAGCCTGACATGCGATCACTCAGTGAAATTTTCAAATCTCCTTCCTCCCAGCCACGTGTGTGGCCCTGAGTCCTGACCTCCAGACCTTTTCCGGACGGCCCGCACCTTTGCACAAAGCAGAAAGCTGGTGGTTAAGCATCCTTTGCTTCTAGCAACTGCAGGAGGGTCAGGTTCGCAGAATGTTCCAGGCTTTTCGTCAGCTTTCTCCAGGTCCTGCCGTAACCCTGTCACGTTCAAGTGCAGTTCTCTTCTGAAGAGCGCGCCGTCCACTCCCCCTCCTCTGTCCAGCACCATTTAAACATTACCAGGCTTTTAAAAAGGTACAGATTGCTGTTGCAGGGACAGAGTGAGACAAGCAGCTCACCCTGGTAATTCACAGAACTCTGCAAACTCCTGCAGCCTTTGCGGGATGGGCAGCTTGCATCAGCATTTATTGTACCCCCGCCCTTTCTTCCAATGCACTGGGATATTGGTGCAGAGGACAGTGCTCCACAGGAGCGCATGTTTCCACGGGGAACACTGCATCAGTGGACAATGCGTCAGTGGACGCTGCGTCTGTGAATCAGGTGATTTTCTTTTACCTCAGAACCAACCCCACCCTGACTGTCTGCAAGGGTTACAAGCCCAGAGGCAGCTTCCCGAGGGGAGAGCTGATTCCTGGTGAAAAACAGTGAAGCAGGTACTGACCAGTGTTCTCCACAAGTCACTGAATATACGCTCCCTTTAAACTGGCGCCCTTATCAGCACTTGTTATGCTGAAGTCCAGCTTCAGGTACAGCTGGATCTGGATGTCCAAATGCTATCACTGGATCTATAATCCACTTCCCGGATCTCTGGGCTCTGCTTTTCATCTGAACTGGTTCTTCACCCCAAGTCCGCACCTCCAGGTCTACCAACACTTCTAGGTAGACCCCCAGTGGCTTGTCAAACACGAAGAGTGCCATTCTGTTCTGATAGATGTAGCCAAAGCCCCTGGAGGTGTTTTAATCCACCCAGCTTAGGTCATACATCTTCATGGGAAGTGAGCATCACAGCAGGAGAAATAGAAGCCTCGGTGGTAAGTTCAGGGGACAGAGTTTGTTGCTATGCAGCTGAGAAGCCCAGGTCCTGATGGGTTCGGAGAAACATTTCATCTGCTATCTGATGGTGATACAGGGCAACGACACCTCCAGCCTGCTGTATGTCTGGTGCGAGTTCTCGTTCTCCAAAATCAAAGAAGGAATTTTAGGAACAGCGGAGGTTAAGAGCAGATATATTTATTGGAAGAAAGAAAGCTTCTGCCTGCTAAAGAGACAGAAGGGGTCCCGAGCGGGTTGCCAAAGACTGTCTGTTCTAGGGACTTTTATGGAGCAAAACCCAAAGTGGGAGGTCTAAGGTGGGGAACACATGCAGGAGGTGGGGCAGAACTGTGGCCAACCAATGAGATTAACTGCTCAGGTCAAGTTGGTTAAATCGGGGACAAATGGGGAAGTCAGTCACATAGCAAGCAGGCAGCTTAGAGAACAGGGACCCTTCCTCTAGAGGGCTGGGATGGTGACTCCTGGGTCCCTCAGGGTGACAGACACCTATTTCGAGTATCAATTCCTGATGCTTGGCCTTAGGAAGTGTGTGAGTACGTTTGATTTATCTTTTGTCTAGAGGTCTGGCCCACAGTTGCAGGGTATCTGGCCTTCTGCACAGGTCACTTCGAGGGCCCAGCCCTGTCTGACTGCCTGTAATATTTCTAGCTAACTCAGCAGCCAGCACCACTAGCAGGGACCCCTGTTTCTATCTCCTGTGGTCTCTAACCCTGTTGAAATCTTCTCCACTAAAGCAACACAGTGGCACTTCTTAAAAAGTCTCCATCGTCAGATGTTTTGGCGTGTGTGTGTGTGTGTGTGTGTGTGTGTGTGCGCGTGTGTGTGCATGCGTGTGTGTGTGTGTGTGTGTGTGTGTGAGTGTGTGTGTGCTTGTTCTCTGGTTGTACCACTCTTACCACTGAGTCACTTGGTGTCCAGCCAGAGGATGAGGAGAACAGAAAAACAACGACAGAAAGCAGTCAGGCGACGCTCTCAGCACTTAGCAAAGCTCTCCTCACCCTCCCCGGCTGTCTCCTCCACCCCTGGCGGGGATTCCCTCCCAGGCTTGTGCAGCCACGCTGGCTCCTGCCTGCCTGGACATCACTTCCTCGCTCCCTTCCCCAGTGTATTTATCAGACTCTGGATTCCCAGGCCCACAAGCCAAGGGCCAGAAAAGCTGGGTGCAGCGGGTGCCGGCAGGTGCCTTCTGGGGGGTCCAGCTGCTGAGGGAACCCCCTCCCCAGGCTCTGGCCCTGTCCGAGCAGATCACAGCCCCTCAGGGCTCAGCGAGGACGCTGCATCCTATGTCGGATCCCAGCGAGTGCCCCGCTTATCTATTTGTTCCTAACTCAATACCCAGCAGGAGGCTGGAGTCTGGCAAAACATGAGTAATAACAAACGTAGGTGTGCGTCAATCACCCCATAGAAATGTGCGATACGAGCAGAACGGAGAAGTTTCAATTCCTCCCTTCCCCTTCCTGCCAGCCCATGTTAGGCTGCGGATCCTGGGGCACAATGTCGTCAGAGGCAGAGAGAAAATCTTTAAATCTGTCCTCCCAGTAGCAGCAGGTGTTAAGTGCTCAACACAGTGAGGCCAGGGAAAAGGCCCCGCGTGGACGGTTTGGGGGAGGTTTTCCCCTTCGGCGTCTGAGCAACTCCACCACCACCCCGCCAGCGGCTACAAAGATTTCCACTTCACAAATGAGGAAATTCAGGGATTTTAGGGACTTTCCCCAAATCATGTAGCTTATCAATAGAGGAGCCCCATCTTTAATTGGGATTCCAAAATTCTAGGTGTTTTCCCCCCTAAACATTGCACTGCTTTTTTTTTTTTTAAAGGGAGGGAACCTAGAGAAGAGGACGGTTGCATTAAGTAAAGGCAGAAGTTAAAGCAGAAACAATCGATGTCCCTAGAGGGCTCCCTGGGGAGGCGGAGGCCCTGGGTCACCACACAAGGGCACCGGGCCTGAGGGCCGGCCGCCTGGCTTTCCTAGATCAACACCTGCTCTTCTGGACTTCAACGCACAAAGTTTCTGAGTGCTGCTTGTCAGAGTCTTCGGTTCTCACTTCCCGTAATGATCTATGCACTAGGACAACAGAGCGTGAAGTTCAGAATCGGTTTCTGCCTAAACCATGCTCAGCTACTTACCGGCTTACTGGGCAGCTGTGGGAAAGTGGACTGACCTTTCTGGGGGTTTTCTCACTCGTGAATAGTGATACTGCTTCGTGACGTTTATCGAGTGTTTACTAAACTCTAGGCACTATTCTATGGACTTCAAAAACGTTGAGCTGTGTGATCTTCATCACACAATTATGAACAGATCCCATCATTTTTTCCAGAAAGATGAAGCAAAGAAATATTAAATAACTTGGATTCAAATCAATATTCTAATCCAACAGTTCTCAATCATGAGTGACTTTTGTCCCCCATCCCAGAAGATCTGGCAATGCCCACAGATGGGCTTTGCTGTCACAACAGGGGGCGCTGGTTCCGGACTCCGCTGAGTGTCCTGCAGGTCACGGCACAGGGCCCCAGGGCCCTGTAATAAGGCCAGGTCTGGCCCCAGATGTCAGTGGCACCAAGGGTGACCTGGTTCCAGCTCCTAGCTCAGCCTCTCTCCCACCCCTCTGTCTCCCACCCGTCCCAGCAGGTGACAATGTGCTCTCCGAGAAGCAGCCTGGGGGTGGGACTTGGTGGCTCCTGGCTCCTTTTCCTCCTCAAACCTCCCCTTCTCTCCTCGGGAAGATAGAGGGGAGAAGACGTCCATGGGGTGACTCCTGCTGGGGAAGAGCCCAGCCCGGCTTGCATCGTGGCCTCTGTGTGTCCACTGCCCCGAGTCCATCAGTCCTCCTGCGTTTCCTGGCTCGCTGAATAACCCCTGTTTATGTTTGTGTTTACAGTCGGTCTGGAAATAAGCGTCCAGAAGGATAATGTGGCTACTTCTTCCCCCAACACAATGGAGATCGGCACTGCGGCCGTTGCCAGCGGAAAGAATCTTGGGAAAGAGGCCAAGCCCGAGGCACCAGCTGTTAAATCTCGCTTTTTCTTGGCATTCTCTCGGCCTGTACCAGGACGTCCCGGAGACCAAGGCACGGATTCATCCACGCAAGCAGCGAAGCTTGATGTCAGCTCCAACTCAGAGCCAGCAAACAAAGACCCGAGTGACAGCCCGGCCCTTTGCGAAGCAGCTGCACAGGGACCAGCCACGGATAAAATCCCAGCACCGAGCACGACCCCCGGGGACCAGGCCCTCCCGGCCACCTGGGCACAGGCACCTCTCCCACCTGAGCCCGTGGCTGCCGCCCCCTCCAAGAGCAAGGACTCCAGTTTTTTTGACAAATTTTTCAAACTGGACAAGGGACGGGAAAAAGCGGCAGCTGAAGACCAGCGTCAGGAAGCCCAGGAGGCCACGCAGCAGGGCAAGGCCGAGGAGGTCCCGGGGCTGTCCGGGCCGCCCCATGGTGGCCCTGCCGGGGAGGTAAGTGCATGGAGCTACCCTCTGTTTCCCCCCAAATGCACATTCAGGGCACCAGTGGGGTAAGATCACCACACACACACAGAACCTCTAATCACCAGGGCACTGGGCAGGTATCAGGCTCTTGACCCCCCTGGAATAAACTGCAGCCAGCTGCTATCTCCCCCACATCCCCATGGGCAGAAACATCTGTTTGAAGAACAGTAACAGCTGCTGCAAGTGTTTTATGTCAAAGGAAATTGGAGGTGAGCTACATACAGATGAATCCATCCTTCCATTTATCAAAGGCTGAGCTGGGGTGCACTGGTGATCAGTGGAGGCTGGGCAGAAAGGTATTAGCGGGGTAAATGATTCTAAAAGACTTAAGTCCCGGCTCGGGCTCGCAGACCGTTTAACATACCACGTGTCTGGAGCTTTAGTGGAAACACATTTATCCCTTGCTCGTTTGCAGCCCGGGTGAGCTGCTTCTTTTGCAGCCATATGCAGGTTCACGGGTCTAGGCACGCTGCTTTCTCTACTAATTAATCCCCAACGAGCTGGAAGAGTCCTTTTGTAAAACCTGGATTTTCTTTCAAGGAGGTATCTTGAGTCAGTTGTTTTCTTTCTTGAGCAAAGAGAAAAGCAAGCTTTTTGATCTTTAAAAAAAATTAACCTTGAGAGAGCTCATATGTATGCTTGAAGGTAGACAGAGAAAACATTTGTTACACTGTATTTTTAACAGGCTTTTGCTTTGTTAACAGACTTTTAAATAACAATGTTTTTCAAAATTTAGGACTAGAGTTGAGTGCCTCTAGTTGATTGAAAAGGAGGGAAAGTCAGATTGGGCTAGTTTTGGCAATTCGGGTGCTTATCGCTGTTGGCAGTGTTTCTGTCTAAGAATGTAACTGTAACTAGGTCCTTCCAAGCTGCTGACCCCAGCACTGGCTGTCATCTGTTGAGTGCTTACCACAGGTCGGGTTGTGTTCTAAGCACTGAATATACCTTATTATCCTTGATAAAACTGGGGAATCACGTTAACCTGTGATCTTAACGTACCCAGGGTGGCGTCAAGAATTACATTGTGCCTCTCAGATGCCAGCAGGAAGCCACGGACAGCTGTAAGTGAGAAAAGGTGGCCTCCTGCATTGTGACTGTCAGAGTTCCGCTTGGTTCCCTCAATTTGGACTCTGAGGGTTTATTTTCAAAATTTCCTCCAGGAGGTGAAAAGGTTTCCTCCTTGCAAATGCCACCTCCCAGATTGTACCAGATCAAGGGCCAGTGAACGGTTTTTGGGTAATTCAAAAGTAGGTCTTCACGTTGGCTCTTTCTGAGCAGGACACCAGGCCAGACGCAGATGACAGATGACGTGCTGTGAGGACACAGGGCCTCTGTCCTCGTGGTGTGTGCTGTCCAGTGAAGGATGCGAATGTACATGGCTGGGACTGCACCTCAACCATGCCGCCAGCTCCATGAGCCATGAGGGTGGCGGGAGGAGGCCCAGCCAGGCAGCCTTACTGGTCACAGTCCCCAAATGGAAAAGCCAGAGCCCTGCAAGTCTCTTCTCTGGAGAATATAAAATGGTCATCAATATTCATGACTATCTGAGAGTGTTTACTGCCTTTCCCTAAGCAGAGACACTGTTGAGTTTTAATTATTGACCTTGGGCTCCTAAAGCTAGTGATTTTATAAATAGCCAATCCTTTTTTGGCATGGCCATCCAAAGCCAACCCGTCGCCTGAATTGGGGGAGTGTGCAGAGGGCTGGACCTCACCCATCTTCCCATGGTTGTCCAGGGTCTCATCCAAATCCCTGTCCTAATTAAGCAAACCATTTGATATCCCTCCCTGGGCCCTATTTAACCCTAAACCCCCAGCATTCTCTGTCCATTCCTAGTCTAAGAAAAAGGAAGGATTTAGAGCTGTGGTTTATCAACTCGGCTTCCTTTACTGGGAGTGTGGGGGTCTGTTAGTGATAGCACCTCCGTTTGCGTGGAGTGGGCTCCGGGCAGGAGGTGAATCAGAAGGTGATGCTTACACAGGAAACAGGACAGGTATCTAATAGTCAACCCGGAGTGACATTCTGAAGTTACAGTACTATCTCGGGCGCTCAAACATTCTGTCCTCCTTTTGGCATAAGCGGGTTAGATCCCTCACACTAACTAATGAAATCTGCGTTTGATTTTTTGCTACACTGCAATTTCCATTTTTACGTGGTGGCATCATTGGGATTTGAAATATGGAATGCCCGCCCTCAACCATGTACCTATACACTAATGTACCTATAAACCCTAAACACTTAGGAAGTAGCCACTTCTTCGGTCCGTACACTTGTGACTATCCACATATATCCTTTTGCTAGAATTTTTAATATAGAAAACAGACCTCCTGTGTGTTAAGCTTTCTCATCAGGACCCTGGCTGCACCGTTCTCTATCTGGAGATAAAGCCAATTGTTCCGTGAGTGTGCTGAGATAGGGCAGTCCTCAGTGCCATGAATAAAACTTCTCCATCAATGACTTGCTTGGTGGAGAACCGCATTATGCATAGATGGGTGTCAATGTATTGATTCAGAATTCTTAGGGTAAATTATGCCTTGGGCCGAGCTGGTCAGCTGTCCGTCCTCTGCTCCCCACTTTCACCGCCCGCCCCTCTCTGGATTGGAATTCCAACCACAAAGCCACAGAGCTGTGAATTGGGAGAGAGATGCCACCATTTCATTCTGGGGGAAGCACACAAATCTTCTGTGTTTTCAGAATGACAATCTTATTTTTGTGCCTCATAAAACTACATTCAGAGCATAGCATAATTAAAACAAGGCAAGAATTCACGGACAAATGAAGCATTTACTACATAGGCCAAAGAAAAGATAAATTATTTGCCTGAAAGGTTTCACTGAGCTGTGATTCATACAAACCAACACGCTGGCAGAGACTCTCCTCCACCACCGAACCAGAATTGTAAAATGTGCTTTTAAAACATTCAGCACTATACACACTCACACAAATGATCATAGTGTGGAAATCTGACCTTAATTGGTTAAAAAAACATTAAGTTTCTATTATCTGTGCATGTCTTCAGAGGCGCCCTTTTGGGGCGGAGTGTGCATAATATGTTGCAGTGTGGCTTCATAGAACAATACATCTTTTCTCTTGAAAGTTTAGCTAAGTTCTTCATTTGCTAAATGCCTACCTTGTGCAAGGCGTGGAAGGTAAATCGTGCTCCCAGCCCTTTGAAGAGCACGTCATCTAGGAAGGGACATCATATCTAGGGGACGTTGTGATGGGCACATTGGCCCTTAGGTTCGCTCGGGCTCCATGATATGTGTTGTTCACCTCAGTGAATTTGCTTCTCCTCGCTTTTCTCTCTGGAATATCCTCACTTTGGGCTTCAGCCAAAGCTGCACGATGTTGCCCCTCTCTCTTCCCCTTGTCGCAGCTGCCAAATCCCCTAAGTCTGCCCGCAGATCCCGGCGGGCCTGGTCTCAGGTGACTCTGATGCGGTGAGCATCACCTTCCTTCCTGGAGCGTTGTCCTCCCTGGGTTTCTGGGTCCCCAGCCACGCTGCCACTCTCCCCGGATTTCCTTGGGGGATCTTAGCAACCCGGTGTTGGAGCTCCCAAGGTTTCTTTCTTCGATGTCTTCCCTAACCACACCTCCTGGAAGATCTCAGTCCCCAGGGTTGAGGATAGCACTCCATGGAAGAGCCCCAAATGAGCTCTCCTCTCTTGCCTGGATTTACTGCCCCAGCCGGCTGCCTCTTCCCTGCTGGATTTCCACACCTCCGCGTGCACCCTCACTGAACACCTAGACACCCATGTACCCAAAACCAAACTCCTCCTGGACCACCCAATACCTGCTTGCCCACTGGCTCAGCCCCAATCTTCCTCAGCTCAGTGAACGGCCAAGCTGTGTCCTGTCCTTGCTGTTTCCTGGTAGAAATGTAATCAGATGACCATGGTCTCAAAAGTGCTTTTCCTGAATGATAAAGTAGTGGATTAAAACCTAAGCTCTGCAGTCAGGTAGGCTAGGTTTGCACTCTGCCTCTGGCACCTGCTGGCTGTCCAACCCCGGACAAGCTACCTGACCTCTCTGAGCCTGGTTCCCCTCACTGGCAATGCCATGGTTTAGATCTGAACTGTCCCCCGAGGTCTCGTGTGCTTGGAAAGTGGTTGGATCAGTGCGTCCATCCAGTGCTGAGTTCAGGCCTGAGTGTGCTGGGAGGAGGTGGGCCATGATCAGACAAGGCAGGGTCCTAGGTGAGGGGCCATGGGAGGCCATGGGAGTATCCATGGCCCCACCGGCTGTCTCTGCTTCCTGGCTGCCGTGAGGTGAGCACCTTTCCTCTGCCAGTTCCCTCCACCATGTTGTTTCTGCCTTGGAGCTGGCTGACCATGGACTGAACACACTGAAACTGTGAGGGAGCCTCGTCTGCTTCTAATTGCAGGTGTCAGGTGTCAGGTGTCAGGTGCCAGGTGCCAGGTGCCAGGTGTCAGGTGTCAGGTATGGAGTCCCAGTGATGTGAAAGTGACTAATGTAGGAAAGTAAGGATAATTATAGCATTAAACAATTCACATTATTCATACCTGTGAAAATTAATTCCATAAGTCATATAAAATGTTTAGCACACAGAAACTGCATTTTGAACAAGAAGAAAACAAGCTAGCTGTTTTTAGTATCGTGGGTTCCCTCCCCGTCTACTACTCCAATTTTAGTCTCGTTACCTTTGATTCCATAGCTCTTAACTATAGCTATCAAAGGTAGATTAAATCTAATATGAGGCACAAGTGTCACTTGGGGGGAAAGGGTACAGAAGTTGAAAAGTTATTTTGAAACTCACATTTCCATACTCACAAGGCTGATTGATGAGTCTGATATTCAGGAGATTCTATGGTTTTCCTGCCTTTTGTTAGAGCTGCATTTTCCACTAAGCCCTTGTGTTTCTCCAGTCACACTGGTCCCTGTGTGACCTGTGGAGGTGCAGGTGGATCAAAGTATTTTCTCTCCCTCTATCTCTTTTTGTTCTTCCA